TAGTAACAAGTGCCACGCTAGTAGTAACAAGTGCCTTACTAGTAGTAACAAAAAGCTATTAGAAACAAGTGCCTTACTACTGGTAACAATAAGAATTTGGCGGTGAGGAGTCGAAGCAGTGGGCGGGGAAGAGTTGAAGCGAAAACATGTTTGCCGAAGTCACCATGAGACAAAGGAAGCAGTCAAGGCCGGAGGACTTGTTACTCATAGTGATGCCCTTGTTACTAATGAGTATGTTCTTTTTTTGAGTGGCTTGAAGCATCTTGAAGCAAGTGTCCCAACCCTTCCCAGTCGCTGCTTTCAGACACCAAAAGGCCGCTCTTCGCCAAGTTGCCAGCACTTTCTGGACGGGACGAGCCCTACGCCGTGGGACGCGTGTGCGCTCTACGCGACGTGAAGCCGTGAGAGTGCTCGGTGTGAAACATGCGCACCATACAGATCACAGCAGCTCAGGGGGCAAGCTGGTGGTATTGCCTATTGCCATTTAGAAACTACAAATAGGACTATTCAAAGAGTTTTAAAAAAAGAGTCTCTGCCCCGGCCGAAAGGACAGACTTTGGGAGGCCTTTGGCCATGTCCAAAACGTGCGCATCGCACGGCGGCCCTGCCTGCCCTTGGCCTGAGCGAGCTGAACCGAATGAGTGGGGCAGTGGAGGGATGATTCCGCCGGGCCGAAGTGTCATCTCTCAGCAAAATCCACCCAAGTTGAACCCAAAAAATCCAGAAATCGAGGACCAGGGAAGTCTTCGAGTTTGGAGCTACCCATTTCGACAGAAATCCGGTGTCTTCGACCAGATCCTCGTGCGCCAGGGCGAACGGGGCGCGCACCGGGGGCGAGGTCGTGATGCACCGGGCGAACGCCACTTGGATAGAGAGGCAGCACCGGGCTTGAGAGAGGCACTGTATTTGACACCGGTTTCGTGGACCCAAAGACGATCCAATACTCGTCTGGCCATCCCTGCCTTGTGATGCAGAGGAAGCTGAACCTCAGGTGAAGTGGTATGCAGGAAATATCGTGATGATGTCTCTTATCACATATTCTCCATCTTCGGTAGATATTGTGTTCCTGTGCTACAAAGAAAGTGCGGTCCGGGGTGTTGTTTGGGGTGAGATCAGATGAGTATCGCGATGCCTCGGGCTCCAACGACCCTTTCGGCATCCAACGACCCGTTGAACGTCCACGGCCGCGCGCTGCGCACACACGCGTCGACCGGGCCGCTGGTGGTGGAGTTCCGCGGCCGCTCGCTGGCGGTTCGCAGGTCCAGGATGCCCTCGCGCAAGGTCCGCCCGGGGCCCAGCAGCTTCCTGGGCGAGAGGAAAAAGATTCGAAGAAAGGTCAGTTTGCCAGTAGGGTGGAGGCCATCGCTAGTAGAAACAAAGCAACAACTTTCCAAAAAGTAACCCAGCTGGAGACCCCAATAGCAAGATACAAACCGGGACAAAAAGAAAAATCTGGAAACAGCTGCTGTTTTCAACACATCGACCATCTCTTCCTTGGACAGCATCATCACATAACCGGGACACCATCACAAAATGACCAGGGCACCATCAAAACATGACCGAGACACCGTCACAACATGATTGGGACACCATCACAACATAACCGGGACACCATCACAAGGTGACCGGGACACCAGCATGACATGACGGGGACACCATCACAACATGACCGGGACACTATCACAACATGACCGGGACACCGTCACATGACCCGGACACCACCGCCAAAACATGACCAGGACACCATCACAACATGACCGGGACACCATCAAAACATGACCGGGACACCGTCACAACATGAGCGAGACACCATCACAACATGACTGGGACACCCTCACAACATGACTGGGACACAATCACAACATGACCGGGACACAATCACAAGGTGACCGGGACACCAACATGACATGACGGGAAAACCATCACAAGATGACCAGGACACCACCACAATATGACCGGGACACCGTCACATGACCCGGACACCATCAAAACATAACCGGCACACCGCCAAAACATGACCAGGACACCATCACAACAGGACCGGGACACCATCAAAACATGACCGGGACACCGTCACAACACGACCCGGACACCATCAAAACATGACCGGGACACCATCACAACATGGCCGGGACACCATCAAAACATGACCGGGACACCATCAAAACAGGACCGGGACACCATCACAACATGACTGGGACACAATCAAAACATGATTGGGACACCATCACAACATGACCGCGCCACCATCACATGATCGGGACA